GAGCAGCTGATGCTGTAACCCATTCCAAGGGGGCTTTCAGCATCAGCACCCTCACCCTGTATGAGCAGGCTGAGCTCCAAGACGCCCTTGCCCGTGGCCCATAGGAAGAACCCCAGTGCTTCCCTTCACCCTGACAGCGCGGATCAGTGGCTGCCATTGGACTCGGCCTCTCAGCACCGCACACGTTCCCCCCACCTTCCCAAGTGGGCACAGCGGGCAAGGGCAGCGAGGAGAGCAGTGCTGCTCAGGCGCCGCTGTGACACGCACAGCTGCCCAGAGGAGATGCTGTCCCTCTCGGGAGTCCAGGCCGTGCCGTGCAGAAGCCGGCCCAGACGAGGGGCTGCTGCCTCGGGCCAGCTCGGCTCTGCAGCGGCCGGCCGGGCGGCAGCGCCACTCACCCAGCTAAGGAAGGCTCCAGCCCCTGCAGTCACAGCAGCCCTCAGGGCCAGGGCACACAGCAAGGCTGCCAAAGGCCAAGCATGGCCAAGCCATGGCCACAAGCCACAGCCAGCCTGAGCCCCTGACAAGCTGCTGCCCCCATTCAGGACACAACGGGATTGGCTTTGGCATCAGACACACCGAGGTGTGGATCAATTTTGTCTCAACAGGTGAAGGTACACACAGATGAAATGGGATCTTTTCTCAGCCCCACCAGGTCTTTATGGGAGGGCACAACACTGGCAGCTCTTATGGGCAAGAAGCAGATCAAATGGGTTGTACTGCAGAATCACAGAGGGCTTGATGTGTTTTCCTAGAGACTGATCTGAGCAGGGGTTGGGCCAATGGGTAGAACTCAAGCAACTGCTCCAGCAACAATTCCTGCTTCTTTCTTCAGTAGAAAGGGAAGCCAGGTAAACTTTAACCAGTCCAGGCTGCCCTCAGGGACAGCAGGAACATGCAGAGTGCTCTCTCCCTGCCTCGAAGCAGAGCACTTCCCGTGGAGAGACCTAAATGTCCCTGTGACACCAAACTGAGGAGGAACATTTGGTACAGCTATGCTGGCACGTGCACACAATTCACTGTCCCTCAGACAAGAAATAAATTAGATGTACTCAGTAGCTCCGGGAAATCCTCCTGTGGCTGAGCAGCATCTGTGTCACTGCTGGAAATGAATAAGTTGCACAGGCTCCACTTCTCAGGGAGGGGAACCAAGGCTCCTTGGTAGCTCTAAGAGTAGAAATGAGTTGGTGTCAGAAAAGTGAATGGCAGAGATTACCCCAAGTACCCTTTTCAAATTCAAGCCCGTAAGAAGTTGCTCTTAGCCACATGCCAAGCTCATAAACTGGATTTTTTTGGACACCTGCTTCTGAAAAAAATGGTCAAAACCAGAGGTTGTTTTAATTGAGTTCATAGACACCTTCATATTCCATTTTCATGGATTTTCTGAAGGATGACTGCAACAACGACCATTCCATTTCCTCCCAGGGATCCCTTTCTCCCTCCAAAGACTGCAGACACATTTGCAGCTCCTTGTTCAAATGTTGTACCTCTTCCCACTGAGTCCACTTTTCCTCCACCATCTTGGAGACATGCTCAACCTTCAGCATCTCTGCTTGGGACAGTTGCTGTGCCTCACGCCAACCTTGGGGCTCTTCATCGCCAGTCATTTGCTGGAAGCCTTCCCAGGCTGCCAGGTGAGATGTCAACACTCCAACCTCAAGTCAAACAGAACAAAGCAGTCAAAGACTACAGCTTGTCCCTTTCTGCCAAGGCTCATTGACTGTGAGGAAAGAGAAGGAGCAGGAGAGGAGCAGATTCAACAAGGGATACAGACAGCTTGTGGCTTGTGTTCAACATCTATCCGGGTGACTGTGTTCACTTGCAAAAACACCTGAAGACAAGGAGAGCAGGAAGAGGCCAGCAGGAATGCATTCAGATGAGTGCTGGCAAAAGGGGAAAATGACTTGTGCCACTGTCCAGAGCAGTAGTTGGGATTCAGCACACCAGCAAGTTTCCTTCAAAGCAGCTGGGATAGACACTACAGCAGGATGGCACTGAGAGGCATCACCCCAGCTCCCTGCTGCTCTGCAAGGGAAAGGCAAGAGGGGCTGAAACCACCAGACTGCAGTGACTGCAGTGGCTATCGCTGTTTCACTCACTTGTTTTAGTAGAGAATCCTTCTTCTGAATCAGGTGATTAATTTTCTCTATGACAATTTTCAGTTCTTCCTCCAGCCTCTTCTCCTTTGCGTCGATCCTAGCCTCTGTTTCCTGCAGCTCTGCCTGGAGATTTTCCTTGATGTCCTCTAAAAAACACGAGAGAGACAGCTTGATGAGTGGAGTGACTTCTACTCTTTCACTCACCTGATTCTGCTGATCTCCTCTCTGCTCATGGAGCCTCATCTCCTCTTCGGTGCTCCTCATGTCTTCCTGGCCTCCTCTTCACTGCCACAATGGCACTCTGAGCTTCAGGCAACTCTGCTTGTGGCTCTGCCTTGATGTTCTGTACACACAAATGGAGAACAAGTGACTGGGAGCTGCCATCAGGCTCAGCTTTTCCCTCTTTCAGCCTCAAAATCACACTCATTCAGTCGCTTCTTTCTGCCTACTTAACCACCTCTGCTTCCACTGTAACCCTCCTGTCCCAGAGCTGATCTCTGCAGATTACAAGGCTCTGTACTTTCAGTGCCTCTGGGACTCCTGGCCTCCTCAGTCCCAAGAGCTGTGTTTTATGCCCCTCTTCCTGCCCTGCACTCTGTCACCTGCTGAGTCAGGCTAACCTGGCCATTCTCCAGTGGCTCTTCCACCTGCTGCCCAAGCTGCTCTTCCTGCTCTCGGGCTGGAAACAGCTCTCCCTCAGTCTGGCATGGCATCTCTGACAAATCAATCTGCTCCTGCTCTTTCTCCAGAACAACCTGCACAGAAAGCAAGAGAATATGGCCTTCAATTCCCCACACAACATTTGTGGCCCAAGACTCAAACACTGATGGGCTCACACGTTCCCAAAGCACTGTGCTGCTGCTCCCCTGGCTTGTTCTCTGCCCATGGGGAGACACAGATTCCAAAGTGACACTGGCAGTACAATCAGGGTCCAGCTGGGTCTGAATCCCCAACAGACTCTTGGGCAGCTGACAGGAAATGTGTGCCATTTCTC